TCTACTAACAGCAAAGTCTTTTTCTGTGCTCTCACTGAGGAGAGGATCAACCCATCTACTAAGATGCTCTGCAAATGTGGGAAACAAGGATGGAGAATGAGTAGCAGGTGCCTCACAGCAAGCACAGAACAGCAGCTGAGGAAGGAGGGCCTGGACAGTGAGCACTGTACAAGGAATCAGGGCTGTTTTGGACAAACTGGATTTTTTTCTACTCAGATTGCTCTCTTTTCTATCCAAGCATCTCCTTTCCTCCAGGCCTACAGCATTTCTCCCTCCCAGAGCCAGGAAGGCTGCAGCCCGGGGCGGTGCAGCAGCGGCTGTGCCCAGCAGGGCTGGTAGGGAGCAAGGCCCAAGCGAGGAGCGGGAGCTGGGCCCCAGGCTGCCGCTACTCCAGGTCAGCGCAGCAGCTGCTGGGAGCATATGCCATGAATTAATTCCACTGTCCCTGAGATGCTCTGGTGAGAGGAGCAGCAGCACCTTTCCAGCTGATTAACATAAAGCACCTCCCCCCATCGTTTTGCCACACTTAACAAAACACTTAGAGCCCAGAATCACAGAATCATGGAATGGCCTGGGTTGAAAAGAACCACAATGATCATCTAGTTTCAACCCCCTTGCTGTGTGCAAGTCACCAGCCACTAGACCAGAGCCACATCCAGCCTGGCCTTGAATGCCTCCAGAGATGGGGCATCCACAACATCCTTGGGAGCCTGTTCCAGTGTGTCACCATCCTCTGAGTGAAAAAGCCCCTCTGAATGCTTCCCGGCCAGCAGGCAGGCTCCTCAGTGGAAACTTGATGGGCCTGGCTTTTATGCATCTTTTATCTTCCACATGCTTTTCCAGAGCTGCAGTCTCTGCCCTGAAAACCCTCTCACTTCCCCAACAAGCTGTACTCTAAGAAGGCATCTCCTTTAATATAAATATTGTATCTATTATTATAAGCAAGGAGCTAGAATTCATTTTTATTTGTGCATTTCTTTTATTCTGTGATGAGGCTCACAGTTTGCCCTGAATAGACCACTGAGCCCTAAGCCTGCAAGGGGCTTTCTGGGGCAGAGCTCACCTAGCCTGAACCCCAGCAGAGCCCTCTGCAGACACCCAGAGCAACTCACTGTGCTAACCCTGCTGCTGACAACACACCGACAAGCCTGCAGCTCTCCCTCTGCCATGTAGGGCCAGAGCAGAACAAGGAGCAAGCAGGACACAAGATCTCCACTAGTTTCAGACAAAAGGCTGGGAACAAAACACTCACTAGGTCTATAAGCACTGTATTTGGATTAGGAACTTGAGGGCACACTATTACACACCGCTTTACCCCTCTGTGACTGTGGACACTGAGATGCCTCAAAGGATTGCTATACAGCCTTCCTCACCAAGAGTTAGCAAAGGCACTTACACCTGTTTCTTTTCAGCAGGAACAGTTACAGGAGCAGATTTCAATGTGACATCACCAGGGACTGACAGCGAGAGGGCACAGCTCAGACACTTCCCAGCACTGCAACCAGGCAGGTGGTGAGGAAGGCCGAGAGCCAGACAGCTCACCTTCCTTCCTCCAGCTGCGGAAGGAATGGGAAAGATGTGGAAACAAGTCTCGCTCTATTAAGTTTATTTAAGAAAATTAAAGATACAACTAGTTCATGGTGCACATAAATGCCTGAGCAAGTAGAAGTATCTGACAGCATGATTTAACAGGGAAGGTGAAAGCATGCCAGATGCAAGGAACAGAAGATGAAACAAAAACAGAGCCTAGAAATAAAGCAGATTTTTAACCACAAGGGCAGTTATCTGCTGAGGTAACTAACCAGGGAAAAGACAGGTGAAGCTCAGCCACATCTCACTGAGCTCTGCCACAGCCTGTATCATAGCAGGTCAGACTACACATCAAAGCACCTCAACTTTCCTTCTCTCCATCAGCACCTGCTCTGTCCTCAGTTCCTCCAAACATTATACATACTGTTTCCAAATCATTCACCTTCTTCATTCCTCTTTGCCCTCCCACAAACCCTGCTGTGACATCAAGTGCTCTCCTCCCCACACCTGTCTAAAATCGCGTCCCCAGGCCCTTCACACTCCTACCTGTCACCATCCCCAGGAAGATCTCTGAGCATCCAATATCCCTCCCACTTCTGTTTCAAGGGTCTCCAGGGAGATCAGTGAAGTCCTCAGAGGCAGGCAGTGTTCTGCCCTCCTGGATAGAGGCAGGATTGTTGGCATGGCATGCAGCTCAAGACGAGCAATGGGCTGAGCACAGCCTGAACCGCCCACATTCTGCAGGCCGCAATCCTAAGTACTGCCTAATAAATTGTCCTCTCTTAATGCTTCAGTTGTCAGTAATGCCACCTCACTAAGTTTCTAAATAAACTTCAACATATAATGTCTCAAGTCACAGATCAAACCTCAGGCTGGACAACCAGAGAAGTTGGATTCATAGCTCATCCACTCCTGTGCCTCAAGGCTGGGCATCTTTTATGGTCACTGATAACTGGCTGACATGCACTGAATACCATGATACCAGGCAAGCAGCTTAGAGGAGCCTCAGCTTACGCAGAACAGAGAGAACTCACACTAAACTAACTACAGACTGTATTTGAGAGAAGAGAGCCTCTGCTTTCTCTGTGATCTTTGGGATGTGCAAAGATCACCATGCAAATCTAACCTGAAGCCTAACCAACTTCTCCCACTCTACCATTCTTTTCCCCACACAGCCTTGTTGAGATTGTCTGATATAACAAGCTACTTTAGTTTGCTGAATTTGTTTTCTCTTTGTTGGACCATAGGAAGAATCCTAAATACTCTTTGGCCAAGCGCCACAGATGTCAGAGAAAAACAGACATTGATCTAAGCTGGAAAGCTTCTGTTCACACCAAAACATGTTTCTCTGCTCAGAAAAAGACCTCAGGGGGTATGCTCCACACGCTAGCCCCAAGGCTTCCATCTCATCTACTTTTCCAGTTACAGGGGAGATTCCTTGATTTTACAAACATAGCATCTTGTTCAGACAGCTTCTTCTCTCTTGCTGGTAGGCTTTTTTTGGCTATCAACTCTGATCAGAAATTTTGCAGAGTACTGAGCTCACACTGAGTTGTTTCTCCTGGACTTCTGTCAGTACAGAAGAAAGAATGCAGTGCTCCATGAGACCTATGGAACAAGCTAAGAAAAGCAGTAATAAGCCTTCTGCACAGCACCTGCACTGCACCTCAGAAAGTATATAGCAAGGTTCTCCAGTGGGACAAGGCTTTGAAGGATACTGGCTTAGAAGTAATACTATTGTTTCCTGCAAATAATGACCACAGCTCTATGGGGATAGGGCATTAACAGCTAAACAGATTTTTTTTAGGTGACAATGAGAACAGGTTACTTGCTTCCAAGGAAACACACCAGGGAGTTAGCTTGTTTCAGAGCAGCAGGCTTCTTTTTTTCATGTGTGGAATGAGCAGTATTTTCTGTGCAAACTACCTACTGCCTGGAGCTAACTCCATTCAATATGTGATCTCATCTGACTGCAGAAGCTAAGCAGCGTTAGGCTTGGTCAGCCCTTGACTGGGATACCTCCCGGGAAAACAAAGAAAAGGTGCTGTAAGAAGCAGTACTGGCAGTTTAGTAGGTGATGTTCTTCCTCTGAGTCAATACAGAGGTAAGGACCCAGGGCAAATGTTAAACCAGCAAGGGATGACAGAGGCTGGTAGATGAGATGTAAAACAGACATCCTGACAACTTGTGGCATATGTTGTGGGAAGATGATAACTTAGATGTCCTAGGCAAACAAACGGTACCAACCTATCTTCTCTCATAGCCATCACTGAAAACCACACTCCATTGTTTGACTGTGTAAGACAGTCTCCCAGAGAGGCTACAATTTGATTGAAGAAAGACTGCCCATTGCAGTTATCTGTAAAGGAGCTGCAGTAAGGTGACAGTGACTGTTCACAAGTAAATAATTTATTGTAATTCTTAACCTCTTTTGAGAATGAAGAGTCTTACTATAAAATATCCAAAACTTCTCCTGAGCCAGTTTTCCTACAGAGCAAGCTCTATTTATTTCCATGTCTGAAATATATTCTCAAATACAAACAAGCGAATAGAAAATTAAAGTGCTAAATTATTTACAGGGAATGTGTATATGAGGAGATATCTGGTGTATCAGTGCTCTAGGGGACACTGAGGTGATCCTCTCTCTCAGACTGTCCCACATCCCACTCAGTTACTAGTTCAGAGGATACCTCTGTGAAGAGATGGTCCCAATCCCAGCAGACATCGTCCTATCAAGAGGAAAAAGACAAACATGCTGAAAATTTAACTGATAACTCCCAAAGGTCTCTGAATGATGACCCTGCCAGAGAGGAAGGCATGTATTTCGTAGACTAGGATAGGAAACCTAGAGAGAACGGAATGTGAATCCGTGTTACAATTTAAAGATTGGCAGAATTAATCATGTTCCCAAATTCAGTAAAGCCCACACTGTTAATCTTAGGTACCCTCAAGAAGAGCATAAGGAGACATAAAAATCTGCCACCCTTCTACTGAAGCACCTGTAATTCTGGGCTGTAGAAATCCTTTGTTTCAAGTCCTGAGGTACTGCTTATACATTTGTACTGAGGTTCTTCTGCCTTGCTTTAAAACAGCCCCCTGCCCTAACCGTAAATGCTTTTTTTGTTCCTCTGTAGCACAGTGCAGAACCATCTGGAGCCCATGGTGGTTACCAAAAGACTACACACTGCAGCAGTTTCTGCAGGGATCTGTGACAGTACGAGGCCCTTCATTAGCTCTTTCAAACTGAAGGAAGCCAGTCACAGCAATGCCATGATCTCACACACAGAAATACCTACAAACTTTTAAAATAATCTGCTGGGGAATTCAGACCTCCATCAGCTTGAAAACAAGCTCCTCTTCACAGGCTCCTTCTCAAGTCTCCTTCTTCCATCCCAACAAAAGCTTAGTTTCTAAGTACAGTCTGAGACGTAAGAAGCTTTTAATTCACTGGCGTTTCCAGAAAAACTCACCTCCCGTAGTTCATGTTCTGGAGCCAAGACTTTGGTGAGAAGCTTCAGGTCAACCTCTCCATCCTAAGAATACACACAATCACAGTCTTACAGACACAGAGAAAGCAGACACCATCATTTCACCAGAGAGGATGTTGCTAGAGATACAGATATAACATTTTGTCCCATACATGACACGAACCTTCTTTAGGACAGCAGCAGGTACCTCCTCATATAACAAGAGGCACTATACATACAACATTTACAGACATTCACAAGCCTGAAAAGCGCTCTGCAGAGAGGAAAACACTTGCAGGCAGACTGGAAGGTGCTTGGATGACAGGGCAATGTATTTTATGCAGTTAAGTATCACAGAGGAAAATGGAAAACTGGAAGGAAGGGGACTTACACCGGTCACTCCACACCAACATCCACCTACCAGAGTCTGAAAGGCAGCGTACTTCATAAGATCTTTGTCCAAGTCATGGTAGGTCAACACTCGGTTCACCTGCACACTGCAAACAGAAAGGTGCAAAATACACCCCTGATGAGTGTGGAAGCACATCAGATGAGATGAACAGTGGCTTGAACAGTAGCGTGGGGACACCCACCTCAAGTATCTACACTGGTGATGAGGATATCGAGATGGTTGTGCAAGAACAGAAGAACATCTCATTCAGCAAATTAAAAGGCACTGACGTCTGAGAGCCAGACTGATCACATGTGTTAAAATAAGATATGGAGCAAACAGGGACTCCTTCAGAGAAGCTGGCATGCCAGAGAGAAGATTCATAAGCCACATGCAAGGGCCAGAAAGAAAACAGGAAGGCAATGAACATTCAAACAGCCCAGATATAGATACATCCAGCATGTAACAGCCAAAATGCCACTCCTATCTGGGAAGTAAAGCACACTCTAAGAGTCCCGCAGTGCAAACTATAGAACAATGAAGACTTTATGATTTCCATCTCTCAGCTAAATTTCAGCTATCAAATGCAATTTCTTAAAATGCAGACTCCAAAGATGAGCAGGGGTAGGAAGCAATATACTGTCCTACAATACTTTCTTTTGCATGTTACATAGTACTATAGGGAAGATTCGTATTAATTTATCTTCTATGTATGCCCATGAAAATTATTTATCTTCTATTGCAGAGTGACTATTGATACAGGAAGAACAGATGGGATTATATAAGAGAGAGAAAGCAAAAAAACAAACCCTGGTGAGAGACAAAATCTTTTTTCATTTACTGCTATGACATGTCATTTATTTTTATTAACAGCTATTTAGTTACGACTTGCAAGAGAGGCATCTATGGTCATCCAAAGGTGAACAGAAATCTTACTCTGTGATCTTCAAAATAGATCCAACAGGAGAGAAGACTTAGAAGTAACAAGAAAATTAACTTCAAAACTTAACTTTCAATTTTTAAAACGTACTACTCTCCCATGAGCTAATCCCAAGACTACTGTGATACACCTACAGACCATATTGTGCTTTGCAAATTGACTAAGCCCTTGAGTGAAAAGGATATCCTGTGGAGGGCAAAGCAGAGTGCAGTCAAAGTGTGCGTGATAATACATGTGTATTGGAGGCATTTGTCACACAGGCAACCTTACATCAAGCAACACCTCACTTTTCAAAGTTTGATTTTGCAACATCAAAAGCGTTGCTCTAATGTAGTTTTTGTGTATACAGAGAGAAAATGCATTAATTGCTATCTCTGTGCAATAGGAAACAAGTTTGCACTGTTCAGCCTGGAGCCCCACTGTCACAATGCAGAGCATCAACTCCTGCTGAGTGACACTGCCACTGACATCCACAGGACATGAGACAAGATGGAGTTTAATTTCACCACACATTTCACACAGCCAATGTGAGCCTCAAGAGCTCTCTTACCTGGGTGGGGCTGCCACCTGCATGGCCAGATCTTCCTCCTGGACTTCCTCTAAGTCAGGGATCACAGGAATATCTGCAATAAGAGAAAACAGCGTTTGAAGACAACCTTTTAGCTGAAAGAATCTGGCCATCATCTGAAGATTGGTAAGAATTTGCTTCCTATGAGATACGTTGTCAATTACTCAGCTCAGCTCAGCCACATAGAATCTGCTAGAAATGAGGTGTGGAGCATAAAGTGGCAGAAGCCTTGTGAATGAATCTGCATGCTAAAGGAGCTGCTGGCTCCTTGCAGACTGGGCAGAGGCTGTAACCTTCCGAGTGGCTGAAGGAGGAAGTGCTGGTGGTCCATCTGACACTAAGACTAGGGAGGATGCGCCAAGCTGTAACGTCATAAATCTTTTTGTGTCTTCCAGAGTGAACCTGGAATGGCTGATAGGTGTCACTAGATATTCCCAGCATGTTGATTATGGTTATTCCACCTAAAAAGGGTACTTAGAGGGAAAAAAAAAAAAAAAGAAAACAGAGGTGAGCAGGAAAAACTGGCTGCGCACTGCATCCCGCTAGAACCTGAGAGATGCTGTGCCCTCAGATGGTGGAGATGCCAGTGGTTGGCTCTGGGAAAAAGTTTCACAAGCACAAGGTGGGATCAGAGCTGGCCCTCTAGTGCTGGAGCAGGCAGGCTGCTCCTGCCTCTGCCAACAGCACAGCAGGCAGCCGGGCCTGACTTTGCCCAGCTTTGCAGCCCAGGCTGAGATGAATATTCAGGAGCTGAAGAGACATCCCCACCTGTGGCGGCCAAGGCTCCGGGCAGGGTCTTGCTGAAGAGCCCCTTGTCCGGCTGCCTGTCAGAGCTCCGCAAGCTCTCAGCTGCCCTCTCTGCCCAGCATCCCCTCAGCATCCCTGGGGCTCACTGGCTGCTGGGGCAAGAGCAGCCCTGGCCCAGCTGCGGGAGGGCACAGGTCAGCACAGGCCTCAATGTGGCAGTCGTTCGGCGCTGGCCACACAGTGGGATTTCTCACTAATTGGCTGCCTGGCGGAGGGCTGAGCGGGACAGCGGCTGCAGAGAGAGCCAGGGCAAGGCAAGCGGAGGTGACAGCTTGGATGATCTCAGCAGAGCTGTGCCTTCGAGCTCCCCAGCTGCCTGAGGAACAGGTGCCTGCAAAGCAGCTCTCTGACTAAGGCAAACTTCTCAAAGACATTTAAAGGAAAACTGCAGCAACAGGCCCCCAGGATGTCCCTCAGAGGGCAAGAAACACCTCACCAGTGTGTTACCATGCCTTTGGGATATATCTGTCCCCGCTCTGCGTTTAAGGACAAGAGCCAGGAGAACCTGCTGTCCCACTGGCTCTTCTATGCAGGGGCTCCCAGCTCAAGGTAAAGCTTGTAATAAAATGCAGTCACAGGCTAACAGCATCTCTGTGGACAGAGACTGACCTGTGGAGAGAATTGCTCAGTGACAATGTGGGAGAAAGTCCCTGTACATAACAAAGACCAAGGAGGATACAGACTGTGGAGGCTGTACAACAGGAGGAACAAAGCACCACACAGAGGTACCCTGCCAGACTTTTGCTTCTGTTTATTTCTTTCTGCACTAGAGAAAACCATAAACTTAGTGCTCTGAGCTGCATCTTCCTTTTATGCAGGTTTCCAAAGAGTTCTGTATTTGCCAGTGCTGATTTTATCTCCTTGCCATTGAATTCCATGGAGAGATTCCTGAACACCTTCTTGAGCGCTTCCTCTACTCTGTATTACCATCATGAAAGCAATTGCATAGAAATTCCTTCGAAAAGAAATTAAAGGCTCCAATATTTTTATAGGCACTTTGAAAATATTTCAGACAGAACTCGTGGAAATGCTCTGGGGGCTCCTGCCAGCCCCTCCAGCAAAGAGAACTGCATGAATGTTCTCACTGAAAAGTGCCAATGATTTTGTCCATTCCTAGGCACACGCAATGCTCCTTAGGACTGTTAGAGACTCAGGAAACAGAACATAAATGTTGCAAGGAATTAAAAAAAAAAAAGCTAGCCAGGTCAGTTGCTATCAATGGCAAATCAGGCCTGAAATATTTGGGTCCTTGTTTTACTCATAACTTCTCCTACCCTCTGCCAATATCCACAGCGCTATCTCTCCACAATCCCTCTCCTTCCTCTCTTCTTACAGTTCACAAAGTGTCTCCTTTTTCACCTTCATCACCGAGCAGCCAACCTTCCACTTGCCCAGGCTCCTGCCCACTATTTGCTCTTCTTAGCATGTACATCTTTCTTTTTCAACGGGCTCTAACAACACAGCTAAGTCATGGCACTATGCCTACTGTAGGGAACGGAACCACATGAGCTGCAGTGCTGCAAGAATACAGGCATATGCTTTACTTTTAATACTGCCATTAGCTGCAGTAAGATGACTCTGATATAACATTAATACATACAGAAATGTTCCAGGTCCATGTTCTCCCAGTCTCATAGTGCAGCACTCATACAGAAGTGGTTTTAGGCTTTTCCAACAAGACTACCTTACAAACCTCTACTGCTATCTATGCAGCCTCCTGCAAGTGATCTTCCCCAGACAGAACTCCTCCAAATTTCCATTTCATATGACAGATAAAACTGCCAGAATGAACACTCCGAAAAGCAGCATTCAAGTCCCCCTGAGAGAGTATCTCAATTTCATTTTAGCTGAAGAGAGAGTAGAAGAGGTGGACACATGTGCCAGGTACTTCATCACCAGCAGAAGACGTGGTATGCCCATGATAGAGGCGATAACATAAAGCTCAGTGCCTACAGTGACAGTAAAGAGGATCGGGTGAGACTTCCCTTTATTGCTCAAAATGACTGGGAACAAAATCAAAACAAAGCCTTTCTCATGAATTTTTCAGCCTATAAACAAGACACTAGTTTCAAAACTGCTCATGATAGAGATATGAAATACTGAGTGAGCATCAAATGCTGGATTACACCACTGCAGATTCCCCTCCATCCCTCATATAATAGCAAGCAGGTGCAAACTATCAAAGAATGAAATCAAAATGAGTGCATCCACACATAGGTTAGGATAGGAGACACCAGTACAAGTGTTGGCTAACAGGAGAGTTGTAATATGTTCCATCAAACTGAATGCCTTAGAACATCCAAGTCCAAAGCATAATTAAGAGCAGTGTTTTTATTACAATAGCTAGATCAAACGATGTCTTAAACTATTAGAGTTCCATAGCTAAATTATGACAAGATGCTGCCAACATGAGGCAGAAGCATGCGAGCAGTAGAACGAAGAAACAAAGGGGAAAGGCTACATCCGGGTAGCCAAACAATAAACAAGGAATAGCAGTTTTTAAAGTGACACACAAAGCAGGGTTCTGTGCTCATGACAAGGAATGTGCAGTGACCATCACCTCTTCTGCCCATTAGCAAAGAGGTTACTGATGACAACCACAGACAGCCACAAGCAGGAGATGGAGGCATGCCTACTAACTACTGCCCAGCTACACCTGCAAGTTGTCAAGTTGCACTTCCCCTCCTAGGAGCTTATTTTTGGTTTAGTAGCAACACCTGCAGGCTCTCATCACAGTGAGATTTGGTCCTAGCCCCACAGAACTCAATGCTTTGTTAGAGACAGACAGAATTTTTTCAAGGTCAGGCAATAAATCAGAGCTGTTCCTAGAAACCACATCCCAAGTCCAGCCTACAGTTGTTCAGTACGGTGGCTGCCAAGCCTCACCGGGCTGCTTTAAGTCACCTAAGCCTCACAGCCAAGATCCAAACACCCAAAAGAACATCTCCATCTTGCTTCATCTGATTAACTTCCACCGGCTGGGTGCGTATTTCCAGTGCCAGTTCAGAATGGGCACTTCTGCAGTGGGGATGGAGCTGTCTTCTCTTCCCATCCACTGCCATATCCAGAGAACAAAAAGGGCAGTGGCTGCTGGAACTGGCAGTCCCCTGCCACTAAGCAGGCATAAGAATGAAACTAACTTTAGTTTAAGTTGCTTGCTCATAAAATGTAAAAATGAGATAATTACAATATCTCTGCTGCTGCAAAACTTTGTTTTACTGAATGCTGTTACCTTCTGCATCACGTTTGGGGAATTTTAAACAGGCAAATGGAAGAAGGTCTGATTGAAGATGAAGTTAAGTGAAAGAAATTGGTCTCATTTAGCACATGACAGGATTCATCTGTGTTCTCAAGTCCACTGAGGTAGCATCATGGGCGTTTCATATTCATGAGCTGCTGCGACACTGTGTCCCCTCATTTACAAAGCACCGTGTTCAGCAAATTCTGTCCCTGTAGACACACTGTGCATTTCATGGTCTTGTCAGAGAGACATCAAACACTTCAGTAACCAAATACCAGAAAATGGCTTTAATTAGCGCATCTCAGTGCAATAAATAATTTTTCCCTCTAAGTGGAAAAATGGAGAATTAAAAAAAGAAAAGAAAAAAGTGGAAAGCAACAGGCAAAAAAAAATCTTCAAAAAACCATAAGGAATAAGGGACACATTCAGCCTCTGCTGAACACACAAACAAGCTTGAAGGCTTTTGGAAGCTTTCTCAGGAGAGCAGCAGGCAAATGGAGAGGATAAAGAATACTTCTTTGGATGTTGAGACATTAATTTCATAGGGATACCTTTCCCTTACTGAAATTGCCCTAGGAAGAGGCTGATACTGAGCAGTGTACCTTTCAGCCAGCAGGGAGATGAAAACAGTAGGGTGAAAAGCAGGTGGTACTACAGCTGCTGGGGCAGTCTTAGAAGCTGAGACAAGCAGAAGATAATCTGAGATTCTCATGTCCCAAAACACCCCTCTGAGAAGCGTAATGGCGTGACATAGGCAGCTGAAGGAAAAAGTCACTCTTTGGTCTGAGAGGATTCACAGGACCTAGACAGGATGGGTCATGCAGCAGATTCAGCAATGACCCTCCTGCCTTGCTTTACAGATACATCAAACAAAATCTTTTTTTCTTCAGCTGCCAAGCTCTGATGATACTGCTAGCTAGATGGAGGACTGGCTGGAATGTTGGGTGGTTCACTGAGACACCCTACTACCTTGGATAGCATCTCAGACGACAGCTTGCTGGACACAC